GCTTTCTCTAATAATGAGACATGAAATACTGGGTGTATTCTGATCTTCTTGGGTAGCTGGAGTTTGTAGTTGACCTTTCTAATCCACTTTGTGATTTTGTATGGTTCCAATTTTTTGAAATCAAGTTTTTTACTTGATTATTTGATTTTGATATTCTGTTGAATTAGAAATACTTTTTCTCTCTCTTTCAGAGTTGGTGTCTTCTGGTATCTTCTGTTGTAGTAATACTTCATTCTTTTATTCAGGAATTTAATGTTCAGTTTCATCTGATTCTGCAGTTCTTATAATCATGTTGCTGTAAGTTCTGCTTCTTGAGTCTTTTGTCATGCAATTCTTGATTGTTTCTGTATTTCCAGTTCTCTGCTATAGTTTATATAGAATGGTGTCATTTCTGTAGTGGCATTCTTTGCTCTGTTGTATGCCAATTGTGCCATAAGTAGTAGCATAACTCAATTATTCTGTTGATAGTTAACATATTCTTACAGATATTGCTTCAAGATTTGATTCAGTTACTCTGTCTATTCATTTGTCTGTGAGTAATAGACTGTTGACATCTTCTGTTTAATTTCCAATTGTGTTATTAGTGTCATCCAGAATTTGCTTGTGAATCTGATGTCTCAGTCTGTAATTATCTCTTCTGGGATTCTGTGGTTGGCAAGCATATTTTACAGTACTATCAGTGCCATATCTGGTGCTGTCATTGCTTCTCTGAACAGTATGAAGTATTCATACTTTGTCAATCTGTCAGTGACTACTAGTATTGAGTTGTACTCCTTCCCTTCTATATTCTTTGAATTCAGAAGTTTTGTGATAAAATCTATTGCTATAAATCTTCATGGTTCTTGCAGTTGTAGTATTAACTGTAGCTTTCTGTATAGTTGGTGTTTGTTGGCTTTGCTTTGTGCACATATCTCACATTCTTTGACATGTTGTTGAATATTCATCCACATTCCTGACCAATATAGATTCTTGTGATTTTCTTCATTGTCTTGTTGATTCCAAAATATCCTGCAGTGATTGTGTCATGTTCTTGTATCATCACTTGCTTTCTGACTTCTCTGAGTACATATATCAGTTCATAATATAGTATCATTTTATCTTCTTCTTTAAAGTTCTTATTTTTCTTGTTGATCTTTTTTGCATATTCATCTTTCTTCATCACTTCTTTAATCTTTTTCTTGATATCTAATTCTTCTGTAATGATTCTTGTTGCTCTTAATATTTGTTGATCTACAACTATATTCTTTGTTTCTTCCAACTCTTTGAAGAGTATTCTTGAATCTTGTTCTTTTCTTATAAGATTCAGTCTTCAGCTTAATGTGTCCATCCAGGTATTTTCTGTGTCTTTGCAGTGTTGTATTCTGAGATAGGTTCTTTGGTTATCATAAAGTATTACAGATTGTCATGATCTGAGATAATTTCTGTCTGGTATTGATTTTCCTGTAGTTTAATCTTTCATTTCTTCAGTAATGCCACTATTGCAAGTAGTTTCTTGTTATAAATATTATAGTTCTGTTTGTCTGATGTCATTATTCTTGCATAGCATGCAACTAATTGTAGTCTTTCTTGTTCATCTGATTGTTGTAGTCTTTCTGCTATTGTATAGTTTAATGCATCTATATCAATCACACATCTCTTTATTGGATTGTAGTGTTGTCTTATTTCTTCTTTTCTGAACTTGTCTTTTATTGCTTCAAATGCTTCTTAACACTCTGTTGTTTATTTGAACACTTTGTCTTTCTTAAATAGCTGTGTAAGTGGTCTCACTTCCTTTAAAAATCTGTCTATAAACTGTTGATAGTAATTTGCTAGTCTGTGAAACATCTGAACTTCTTTGACTTTCTTTGGTATTAGCTATTGTAGTATTTTGTTGATTTTTCCTGGCTTCATTTGTATTTCTTCTGTTGACATAATGTGTTTAAGATATCTCATTTCCTTCTTGAAAAAGTCACACTTCTTTAGTTTTACTGGTAGGTTGTATTTTTATAGCTTTTCTAGTACTTTCTTGACTTTTCTAGTGTGATTCTTTCAGTCTTCTTTGGTGAATATAACCACATCATCAAGGTATGTAATGACAAAATTGTCTAGGTATTCTTGCAGTATGTTGTTGATGAGTGCTTGGAATATTGCTGGTGTGTTTGTTAATTCAAACAGTATAATATTGTACTCATATAGTTCATATTGTGTTCTGAACACTATTTTTCATTTGTTACCTTCTTTAATTTGTATCTAGTAATAGATGTCTTTGATATCAATTAGAGTAAACCATGTTACTTCTCTTAATCTGTCTTGTACTTCTTCAATCAGTGATATTGAGTAGCAGTTCTTGATTATAATGCTGTTTAACTGTCTGTAATTCATGTATAGTTGTAAGGTTCTGTTCTTCTTTGGTGCAAACAGTATTGGGTATACTGCTGGTAATATTGACTCTCTGATGTAATCTTTGTTAAAGTTATTATTAATGTATTTCTTCATCTTAGCTGATTCTTTTTTGTTCAATCTGTATATTGGTAATTTTGCTGGTTGTTTTCTGTCTTGTAGTTTTATCTTGTGGTTTCAGAGTTTGTGCTTTAGTAAACTGTTGCTTTAATCTCTTTCTCTGAATATATTGATGTATTCCCAGAATTCTTCTGGTAGAGTTTTCTTGATCTTTTTATTCTGGTCATTCTTTTGTACTTGCAGCTGCTCTGAGTTGTTGGGGTTCTTTATGGCTTGATCTGCTTTGTTATTATAAGTTAGATTTTCATGAATTTCTTCTGTATTGATTGATTGATTTCTATGTAGTATCTTCCTCTTGACCTGACTTATTATGGCCAGTGTCTCACCTAAGTCATTTCTGAGTGTAGATCTCTGATTATGGCATACTAGTTTGAGAGAGCATCTACAGTTTGTCAGTTTAATCTTTTCTTCTTGCCAGTTAATTTCTGAATTGTGTTGTTTCAATCAAGAGTATTCCAAGACTATATTATAGTCTTTTAGATTTGTCACTTTGAAATGCACTTTCTTGTAGTGTTGTTCTATTCTCATTCTGATGGGATATGTCTCTTCTTCAACTTTATTAAGAGTTCCTCCTCTCAGTTCTGATAACTGGTAAAGGTATTTCTTTATTTGCTTTATGATGCCAGCTTGTTTAATGAATCTTCTGTTGATAAATAGTCTGATTGCTTCTGAGTTCACTAGAACTGTTGCACACTTTGATTCAAGTAAGGTTGCTGTAACTCTGAAATGACAGATTTGCCTGTTAGTAGCTAACAGTTTTGCTTGTCTATTCATGCTGCTTACAGACTCTTGTTTGTGACAGCTCTCTTGTTTTCTGAATTAATAAGAGTTATCTTGGGTGCCTGTTTGTGTATTTTGCAATTATTTTTGTTGGTATATTATTTCTTGTGTATTTTCTGTATATACTTGTTGTCTTTGTATCCTGTGCAGTTTTCACATTCTTTCAAACTATGCAGAGATCTTGTTATTTTCCAAAATCTTTTATCTTTATGAAATTTGCATTGGTATTTGTACTTGAATTTGTTGTAGTATAGATGATTTGGTTCTTTCATCTTTTTCTGTTCTTTGTTCCAGTGTTATCTGTATGTTGTTATTGCTAGTAATCTGTTTTCTTCTTTGCATGTGGTCCAGTGCAATTAGTTGTCTTGAATCTGTAGTATTCTTGCTGTTGAGCATTTTGTCTCTTCAGATATCATATTTTCTATAAGACTGAGTTTCTTCAAGCCATCTTCTTTGTGTTTTTCAAATTCTAGTATTTTCTAACTTAGCTCTTTCTTCAGCTTTGATGTAGTTGTCTGTTCTTTACTTGATTAATATTCTTTACTGTTGCTGTTATCTTGTTTCTGAGTTGCTTGCAACTTCTTTAGTGATTGTGGTTAGTATCTGCTGTTCTTTCCATCTCTGTAGATAGAGTAATTATTGTTGTAGCAAAAGCTTTAATAAATTCTGATGTGTTCTGGATGTTCTGTAGATAAGATATTCTGTAAATCTGGTATTTCTCATTCTTCTTCCTCAGTGTCATATCTGCAATACTGGTAATTCTTGATGTTGTAACTGTAGTTTCTGTAATACATAAGATCTTCTGTAATCTGTGTTCATTGTTTGAACTCTTCTTGTTGTTTCTGGTGAAGCTTGCATAAATATCTATAAATTGGGTACTAAGTATGTTTCTTGTGCTTTGGATTCTGAATTTTGTCCATTTTCTTTTTGTAGTAGTATTTGTAGTTAAGTGGTTGAGTTCTCCAATCATCACTTGATTTGCTCTGTGTTCTTACATATAATTTTTTGCCTAACTTTCATTTCTTGTCATCCAGCTGATTTTAGTATTTTGATTTATCTTCTGGCTGCTGGAGTAGCTTCAGATAGGCTTTTATAACTTGTTTTTTGAATATCTCTCTGAATTATTATTGAAGTTCTTTTTTGATTTGTTCTTTCTAAGTTGTTACTTAAAGATATTGTTTGACTTCAGAGTTTTCTTTATTTTTTTTTGAGATTGCTCTGAGTTTGTTGTGTTTTTAATCTGCTTTCTTTGCTCTGCACTGCCTTGCTTGATATCCAGACTTAGTATAATAGAAGCATAATTTCTCTTTCTTTCTTTGTTTTTTTTCTTTCTTATTAAGCATGTTAACTTCTGTTGCATTCAGCTTCCTGGGTGTGTGTCTGTAAGAGTCTGATTGTACACATTTACTCTGGCCTTGACTTTCAGTGTGGTTTAATAAACTGGATTGCTTTTATAATGCTTTTTCTTGCTTCTTCATCTTTTGTTTGTAAAGTCAGTTTCCAATTCTGACTGCTATTTTGATTATTCTGGTCAGGGTATGTAGTTGTTTCTCCAATTATGCTATTTTATTTTTGATCTTAGTGAATAGTTCTTAGTAGTAAGTGTCAGCTAAGGCTTTATTGTCTCAATCAGTGTTAACAGAGACTTGCTGGAATCTTATAGTATAGTCTTGTGATGATGTCTTTTGTTATATGTGGTGTAACTGCTGGGCTGCTGTGTTTCATTCTTCAACTTCTCTGAAAGTGGTTTTCAATATCTGAATAAAGATGTCATAACTGTCAATAATCTTAAGCATATTATTGTTCTGATTAACTTTATCTTTTTTGTAATAATTCTGCAGATAGATGTTGAACCAATCAAATACTGCTCTGCAAAAATATAATGCTGCTATTATTATCTTGTTCTTATTATTACTGAGTTCTTTGCCTTTTATATTTATGTAGATGTGCAGTTGTTCCAAGAAAGCTTGTAATTTTTCTCATTCACTCTTGAAGAGTTCTAGTGGATTGACTTTGACTTTATCTTTCTTTTCCTGTTGTTCAGTAGATAAGATGGCTATAACCTGGACCTCAAGCTGCTTATTATGATGTTTCAATTTACAGTTCTGCTCTTCAAGTTTCTTAGTAATCTGTTCAAGCTGCAAGATTCTATTTATAAGATCTTGAGTATTGACAGCTGGTGCTTTGAATGCAGACATAGTTTCTATACTTTATTAGATCTTGACATGAAGTGGGGGTTCATATCTTTATACTTGATATGATACAGAAAGTTCTTTCTTTGTATATAATCTCTGAAGTCTCAGATGTATTCTCTTCTGAGTCAGAAGTAGTTAATATGTTGTGTATGTTTTTGAGTTTTGTAACTGGAAATCTCTCTGGATTCTTTGAGATCTTAAGAGTATCAAAGAGCTTAAAGAGAACAATAACAGATTGAAGATAGTGATCAATAATTTAATAATGCTTCAGTTGAGTGGGCAGTCTTGCTCTGATAACAAAGAGTTTCTGTGCAGGTATATTAGAGTCAGGGCAAGACTATTATATCTTCTCAAAAGTAGCAGAATCAGGTACAATTATACAGTATTACAAGACTTTAGTGATATGGAAAGTAATCAAGATATGAAAGTATCTGATTCAAAGATATCTGTAAGATAGATAAGAAGATTAATCATAATAAACAAGTGCATCAGATCTCTGATAATAAGCATTCTTATATACATGATGCTTTTCTGATGATACTCACAATACTTTCTTTCAGATTGTTTGTGTTATAGTATCACAATATATGATACTTTCTTTCTTATATCTCATCTCACTTGTATTACTTCCTGGTCACATGACTTCCCATCTTAAGGTTTCTCCACAACAGTTCATAACTTCATCTTGTCAGGTTTCATTTAATCATTTTGTGTCTTTGGCTGCCGTGCCACAAGTTTCATAACAATAAAGCACTACTATAACAGAAGATGCCAGAAGGCATCAATTTTGAAAAAGAGGGAAAAAGTATTTCTAATTCAATAGAATATCAAAACCAGATGACCAAGTAAAAAACTCAATTTCAAAAAATTAAGACCATACAAAATCACAAAGCAGATCAGAAAAGTCAACTACAAACTCCAGCTACTCAAGAAGATAAGAATACACCCAATATTTCATGTCTTATTATTGGAAAAAGCACCACTACATATCAAAGAAATGCCCACAGAGATCAATAAAGAACAAGAATATGAAGTCAAACAGATACTAGATCATCAGAAGATTAGTGAGAAACTTCACTACTTAGTAAAATGAAAAAGATACAATACCTCAGAAAACATCTGGGAATCAACAAAAAATCTCAGAAATATTCAGATGATTGTTAAGATGTATCATCAACAACACTCTCACTCAGTAAAGCATTAATGAAGAAATCAGAAACAACTAGAAGCAAGTCTGAAGAAGAAAGATTATTTAATAAAGCAAGCAAATTCTAAATCTCTGCCTGCTCAGTTACTCTTTTCTGCTCTTTCTCTTCCAGGTGCTCCAATTTCTTCAAAGAAGAAAGACCCTGAACTATCATATTACTACTACAATATTTAAGAAGAGACTCTTGTTTTTGAAGATAAAGAAGTTTTGAGAAAATATAAATCTGTTTCTCAAGAACTTAGCATTTCTCCAATGCTAGCTTCTTCTGAGCTTTTTTAAGAGAACACCAGTTCTCAGTAGAAGAACCATTGTTACAGACACACAAATAACTGAAACACATGCATACACTATATCAAGAAGAACAAGAGAACATAATGCATGTCTTGTTAAGAGAGAAACAACAAACACAAGAGAAGATCATAATAAAGCCTGATTTTTTAATATTAGTGATTAAAGCATTCTTGTGAATGGCAGATTTGGAAGCCATAGTTAAGTCATGAAGATACTTACTTAAGAAGAAAGAATACAAGAAGACATAAGAAGAAAAAAACACTCTTTTATATTTCAGAAAAAAAAAGCAGAGTGGTTGGGGACAACACACTGTGAAAGAAGAAGATAATATTATAAATCTTGTGGCACAGTAGCTGAAGAGACAGAATGATTGAACAAGATCTAACAAGACAGAGTTACAAACTGTTGTGGAGAAATCTTAAGATAGAAAGTTATATAACCAGAAAGTGATACAAGCAAGACAAGATATAAGAAAGAGAGTATTACATATTGTGATATTACAGTATAAGCAATCTAGGAAAAAGTATCACAAGTATCACCAGAAGAGTATTATATATATAAGAACACTTATTACCAGAGATCTAATAAACTTGTTTATTGTGATCAATCTTCTTATCTATCTTATAGATATCTTTGAGTCAGATACTCTCATATTTTGATTACTTTCCATACTATTAAAGTCTTGTGATACTATACAATTGTACCTAATCCCACTACTCTTGGGAAGGCACAATAGTCTTGCCCTGACTCTGATATACCTGCATGGAAACTCTTTGTCATCAGAGCAAGACTGGCCACTCAACCAGAGCACCATTGGACTATTGATCACTACCCAATCTGTTATTAATCTTCTGAAGCTCTTTGATACTCTTCAAATCTCAAAGAATCCAGAAAGGTTCCCATCACACACAACACTATTCCTCTTTATATAGCATCTTTTACTATAGACTGAACAGTACTTTTATACTCTAGTTATCTGATGTTAGAAGATATCTCTTCTGTATTCAAGAAGATTCAAATATTATGGTGTATTTGAGAATTGAATTCAAGGCTTTTTATAGCTGTAGAGAGAAGAAGAAGAAGAATTCAAAGAATTGTTGTTGTAACTTGTGTTTTTGATAACCTGCTGAACAGCAGCAACTATGCCACTTAAAAAATCATGGTGAAGATCTAATATAGTCTTGATGTTGTAAAATCTAGAAATTAGAGCTTCTGATTTACTTTTTTTGAGAACAGCTCTTTAAGCAGCTATTTTTAAGTAGCTATATTGAAGACTTAATGTAATTATCTTTGACTGCTTGTTCATGCATCTTAGATAGCCAGTTATTAGCTTAAATATTCCAATAATTGGGCCTTTAAATCTGAAGATAACATTGTAGCTAGAGAAACAGACTCTCTTTAAAGAAATCTAGAGATTTGATAATGTATTTGATTAGTTTTTTTGCTCTTCTTGATGATTAGAAAGAGAGATAGAGAAAGGCTGAATTTATACTTAACTTTTTAGATAAAGAGAATAGGAATTATATAAGTAAGGCTTATAAATAACTTGTTTGAGTGAACTGATTGCCAGAAAAAATAAAATTGAATTCCTCTTCATTTTATAATTGCTTTTCTATCCAATTTAGAAGATAAGAAGAATGACTATGCAGTGAAAAAGCTCATAATCTGTTGGAGCATGGAAAACTAAGCTTCATTATGCTGCTACAAAAGAGACTAGTGAGATCTCATCTCTTACAGTGAGATAGAGCTTCGCAGCAGAAAAGAGTAGACCAAGAGTGATCACATGAGGTCATGTGCGCGCTAAGCCCAAAAGGGGTTAGGGTGCGCGGACAGGTTTGGGGAAGGTGACCTCGGCAGGTGTCAGGTGACCTGCCGGAACGGGGCTATACCAGATCTGGGCGGACGGCCGAACCCGGCTTGGCGACTCGCTGGTTGATTGTTTACTGCTAAATAATAAATAAAGTTTTGTACGAAGTTACAGAGATTTCTTCAGAATTAATTTTGTCTTCAACGTTTTTGGGGGCTGCTGGATGTCACCATAGAGGGCCGGAGTCCAATAGAAAGTTGCTGATGATTGACTGCTTGAAAGGTTAGTAGTCCAACCTGGGCTCTCAGGTCCCTTTTACATCCTTTTCTGCGCCGTCCGCAGCAGCTCTTCATTTTGTTTGTTTATCCCTATCGATGCTTGATGTTGACATCTGCCTGTTCCGCTCCGCTGCCAAGACGCTCCGGCCGCGGAGAGTCGGCGCGAGACGCGTCCGATGCGCGAATCATAAACGACGCGTCAACAGAAAACAGGCCGGCGTTAGGGGTTGTAAACATATCTCCATTTCGAGTACGTTCTTCCGTCAGTTTTTCTTGAGACTTTCTCCTAAGACACTGCGATTGTTTGTGGGCTCTTCCATGGCTCTTTGTTTGCCATCAAAGCGCCTGCTCCTTGTAGCACGGATGACATGGATGACTACGAGTATGCAGTATTTCAGTCGTGTATTCTGGCAAGACCACTAACTCTACTTACATAGGTAAGTAGACGTATTGGTTTGGATCGATAGACATCACCATGAACAAAAACTGAGAGCAAGGAAGTTTTTTCTTGCTCAGATAAGAGGCCAGGGCCAAACACCATCCACCAGAACATCTTGATGCAATATCTCGATTTGCCATTGCAAATCAGTCCCCCTTCCACAAAGCCCAAATCCGTTCCTGCTCCCGCCCAATTTCTGCATAGGGAACCCGAAACATCATGGTAAACGACGGACTTCGTTTGGATCCCAGACAACCGCCGAGAGGCCCTTGTCACTTCTTGTCTTTGTTTTTCGCGGCTTCTTCTGCCGCCCTTTTTTCGGCCATCTGACGCTCGATGGCGCAAGTTTCGCATTCCCTGCCCGGTAGCATGTAAATGTTGGGATGTCTTGGACATGGGATCATGTGCTCTTTTCTGCGGCAATTGGTGGTAAATACTTTCCCACAATAGGCACTGGCAGAGTTAGCAAGTTCCTCGGGACCGATTTATCAGTACTCAGGACGTACCAGTGATGCCCGCCTTTCTTCTTCTGGGGCATGGTGAAGAAGTTGAATTCTTGAGCAAGAGGCGAAGTCGAAAAGTTGGAATTGATCACCGTGAGGCGAATAAGGAGATCCTTGAAAAGCTGCTTGTATGAGTTCTGCTGCTGCTATTGCTAGAATGCCTCAAGTTCAACTGCAAGGGAACGCAGCTTTTATAATGAGTTTTGACCTCATGTTGGGCCAATCCCTGGGTTTGCAGACCATTGACAAGCATTATTCTACTAACGCATCAGGCGCAATTCTGTTGAACAAACAACTTGTTGACCCTGATAGCAATCCCAACGCATACCTCTCCTGGCCCTGGGCGACTTAATTGCACAACAACGGCATCCGCGAGTCAGAGATACGACACCTAATATGGCTGGTAGCCTCGTTCCGTGTCAGGTGAGCTCCCATGATAATCGCAAAACAAATATGGAGTAAATTGTTGCCTAACCCATTGAAGAAGTGGCAGATTCAGTGTTGTGCTGGGGCAATCAACCCCCAGGGCTGGGTGAAATAATACTAGTATTGTTTGTTTGGCGTCCAAAAGAGGCACCTATCCGCTATTCCATGTCAAAGACTGAATTGAATCATCATCGTCATTATTGCTGCCATAATGTTTTGTTGAGAGCAAACTAGTATTAGAGATTTCTACCTGTGGTATCAGCAAATGCTAGTCTCCGTGCGTAAGAAGTATCTTGGGTAGGCATGTACCGGTAGGTACTTAACAACTATAGGCAGGATGTACAAAATACAATTCAGAAGATAATGGTACCTGCACATATTTGTTCCTCTTCAAACGTTTCCTCAAAGTTTGGTCATGGCGGCAACTACGGGAGTATAGCAAGCAGCAAACAAACAGACATTGCTCAAAGTACTCGGCCTGCATGCCATCATAAACCTGACCCCAACCAGTCTTGTCAGCTTCTCTTTTTTTCCTTTTTCCCCCCATCAGGAGTCACTTCACAGTCACCTCAATAACATCAACATGACGGTCTCAGGTACTACTACTAGAAGCGACACTGCTTCTCAGTGCTCGGACAGCGAGCATTTGGCCCAGTTCGACCAAGTCCGCAAGATCCTACAACTGCAAAACCTACCAGCGTTTGCCTTGAAGATTCGCTATGGAGATGCCGTCGCTGCTGACTCGTCCTGTCGCGTCGTCCCTGACCCTCTCTCCGGCACTTATCATATTCTCTTCAAGCTCGAGTTCGACGATGGGGTGCACTGGCTCCTCAAAGTCCCCGCTAATGGTTATCCCGACGCCTTTGACGCCGTTTCTGCCCGCGCCCTCCGGTCTGAAGCACTGACGATGCGTTTAATCCAAAGGAAAACCAAAGCACCCGTTCCAACCGTGTATCATTTCGACGATACCCTAAACAACGAGCTCCACTGTCCCTTTATCCTGATGGAATATGTCGACGGCCGCCCATTGTACGAAATTTGGTTCGATCAAAATGTCGACCCCGAGGTACTCGAAAAACGTCGCTGTCGTGCGTTGGATGGCGTGGCGCGAGCAATGTTAGAGCTCGGCAAGTTTGTCTTCGACGAGGCTGGGGAGATACTCTTCGATCATAATGACGGTCCATGCTGCATCGGGCCGATGAAGATGCTGGATATCCAAGCCATGCTGGGGCAGGACGATGATGATGATGATGATTCCACAATCTTCTGTTCCGTTGGGCCCTTCCGCAGCGCAAAATCGTGGTTTACCTGCATGCTTGACAGGCGCGAACCACCCCCGGATGAGTACAGTCTTGGAGTCTACAGTGTGCTTCGTTTGTTCATTGACCTAGCCTTTCCCGAGACGCAAAGTGGAGAGAAGACGGATTTTGTTCTCTCCCACCCTGATTTCGATATTCAGAACGTCCTCGTGTCCGACGACGGCAGCCTACGTTCACTCATCGATTGGGATGGGGTGAGCACGGTACCTCGCTGTCTAGGAAATGAGGTATATCCAAGCTGGTTAACGCGTGACTGGAATCCGGTAACTTACACATTCGATGAAAGCGCTACGCCTGGATCGGACTGCCAGAATAACCATGAAAACTCACCGAGGGAGCTTGAGCACTACCGCAAGATATATCAGAAGCTCATCGAGAAGATATTGGAATTCCCTGCCGCGTCGAAAAGGATGGCAGCCAACTCCCTGGTCCTCCGCAACCTCTACATCGCCGCTACAGACCCTGTTTGTACGCACGCTATTGTTCGGAGGATCTTTGAGGAGATTACGTCGAGGACGGCCCCTGTTAAATCCTCTACAGAGCATAAAGGTGAAAACGGATCCAATAATGGTGACAACTGCAACAACGGCGCCGATAGCCGTGGCGATGGCGACCATACACATGTTGATGAGGGTGACGATGACTTCTTCATCTATGATGTTTTCACCAAGTTCCGACGCGGCAACCTAAGTGAACGGAACCTACAGCGTCTTACACGTGGATTTCAAGCGCTGTTGATATGATGTGTCCTTTCGATATGCTACTCTTCACGGTACCCCCGAATATACCCAAACTTACTCACTGCCTTCCTACGAAGTTTTTATCAGGTTTAGCAAAGTATTTCGTTTCGTTTACAAGGTTAATATCTAAATTTCTGCTCATTGAGTCCACCTATTCTGCAAGAACTCACTCCAGCTTGATAGAATCTTGAATTTATACTACGTTCATCTGGTAGTAATACTATCTGATCAGTCCTCCATCGGCACCCACCGCAACTGCACACGCCCCGGATCGCGCATCTGCAACGTCAATTTGCTAACCGAATCCCACGCCAACTGCCTCAGCCTCTCCCTCAGCATCTCAGCATCCTCAATCCCCACTGTTGGCAGCGGCTCGCACCGCGCGGACCGGAACAACGTCGCCATCGTCGCGACGAATTCGACCTGCGACATTTTCACCCCGGGACAGATCTGTGGGCCGCCGGACCAGGACACGTAGGTGCCCTTTGCTGGGGTGATGATTTGATCTGACGAGGAGGACGTGTCGATCCAGCGGGAGGGGTTGAATTCGGCTGCGTTGGGACCCCAGTGTGCCGGGTCGAGGTGGATGCTTAGTTGGGAGACGTAGATGTCCATGGGGGGAGTGAGGAGGTGCTGTGTGCCGGTTGTTGAGTTGTTGAGTTGTTGCGGTTCGAGGACGGCGCAGGGCAATTTGTCGGGCACCACATTTCTTCACTTAAAGCCGGACTTTTTTATCTTCCCTGAGGCATAACTATTCGTTATATTTTTTCCATAGTGCTATACGGAGTACTACTACGAGTAGCAATCCCTGCTTCCTAGGCGTACCCCTGGAAAAGAGACAAGTCAAGCTTCATGACTCAAGGCAGTCATTCTGCTGTCTAGTAACTCAGAGAGTCTCTTAAGCATGTTATGCTCTCTTATCTCTGTAACAAAGATTTTCTTTTGTCTGAAATGTCCTTCATTCTGGTTGTTTTCATAGCCAGAATCCCCATTATAATCCTCCAAAGCAGCAATGTAGCAAGCTAGCTGCTGTGGTGAGAGCTGGTAAGGATGGAATTGAAGAAGCTGCTCTGTAAATCCAAAGATAACCCTGAATATGTCCACTGGTATGCAGATGTGATGGATGTGAGGACTGCAACCCCCTGCGGACTGAGCTGGCGGACCGGCGGAAGGTTGTTCCGGGGCGAAGCCCTAAATGATGGATGATGGAGGACTTGTATGCTTGTCATTCACTAAGCTACCTAAAGGGGAATCTCAGCTAATCTATGTGGGTCACGTGAGCGAGGTGCTGGTTGGATTATCTAACACCCCCCCATGCAACAAGCTCCAGCAGCAAGTGAGAGCCACAAAGATCCAAAGCTTCCAAATCTCTCAAATCTGCAATAAAAATTAATTACAGAATCCAGATTTATTTCTTCTTTAGACTTAGCTCTGTTTTGCTACAATACTGTATTTTTGCTGGCTTTACTGATAAACCTCCATATTTTCCTGTATCAACTTGTCACCCCTATTGCACTCATAAATTGAGTGTAGGAATCCATTGTAAGAGTCTTCATGAGCCTGTCAGCTTTATTTACATCAGTTCCAACATGCTCAATTGAGATTTCATTCTTTTGAATTCAGTCTCTTAGCATATGGTGCTGAATCTCAATATGGTGTGCTCTTCATGTTATAGCTTCAGCTTTGGCTAAGTCAACCACTCTCTTGTTGTCAACACTTAATTTTGAGCTTCTTAGCTTTGCTGAGCCTTCACTAATCACCCCAGCATCTATCAACAGGTTGTTGATCCAAACTAGTTCACAAGCAGCTTCACTAGCTGCCAAATACTCCACTTTGATTGTTGATTTCAAGACAGATGTCTGGTGCTGTGATCTTCACAATATTGGAGCTCTATTCATGGTAATAATGTAGCTGCTGGTAGATTTGTATGCAGGATTAGCTCCAGTTCAGTCAGAATCTGAACTGGCTGCCAGTTTCAAGTCTTCAGAATTCATATCTCTTTTGAAGACTATTTCTTTTAATTTTGTGCTCTTGAGATAGTGTAGAATCTGCTTGAATGCTGCCCAGCTTTCCCTATTAAGTCTGCTGTTGAATCTCACCAGATAATTGACTGTGAATGCAATATCCAGCCTTGTACACATAACTAGAAACTGTAGAGAGCCCAGATCTTTCCTGTAATTTGTAGGCATAGTCTGCTTGTCAACTCCATTTTTGAGAGTCTGATCTAGTGTGAATTTAATGCTTATTTCTTTTTTCATTAGCATTTTGAAAGATTTACAGTCTTCCATTCTATATTCAGTTAGTAGATTCTTGATATACTGTTTCTGATTTACAAAAAGATCTCCATTTGACTGCTTTTGAACCTGCATATCTAGATAATGGTCTTGTTCTGTAATCTTCTTGATCTTGAAGCATTTCTGAAGCTTCTTGATGAGCCATTCTATTTCAGCTTCATTGGGTCCCATTATATGGCAGTTGTTGATATGTAGAGTTAGATAGATTTGCTTTCTCTTGTGGTAGAGTAATTCCACATCATATGGAGAGATCTGGAATCCTAGAGATTTCAGATAGTCAGTAGCTGCTTGATATCAAAGTCTAGCAGCTTGTTTCAACCTGTAGAGTTCCTGGTGTAAGAGCCCTACTAGATTACCCTGCCTGTGCTTGAATCCAGTGGGTAGTTGAATGTATACATGTTTGTCCTCTGAAAGAGTTCCATTTAGAAAGGCTATCATAAAGTCAAAGATGCTAACCTTCCAGTTCTTGGCTGTTGAGATAGCAAAGAAGGCTCTTATTGTAGGTCCACTAACAACTGCTGTGTAGATCTTCTTGTAGTGAATGTCTTCTTGCTGTTTGAATCCACATACAACCCAATAAGCTTTGAATCATACTGTACCACCCATGTTGTTGAGCTTCCTATCAAATACTCATTTGCCAGAGAGAATCTGCATTTCAGGTTCCTTCTCAACTAGAATCCAGATGCCTTTCTCTTGTAATTTGGAGACTTCAACATCTAGAGCCTTCTTCCAATAAAGCCACTCTTTAGAGCATTTGGCTTTGGTGATGGATTTTGGTATATCTGTACACATACTGAGCACTGAAAGCTCAGCTCCATTTGTCTCTTCTTCCTCCATAGTATCTGAGAGAATTTCTTGCTCTTTACCCAGGTATGTGGGCTCTAAAGTCTCTAATTTGCTGTCCACAAGCTTCTTCATGATTTCTGGCTTCTCCTTTGCAAGATAAGCTAGTAGCTTGTGTTGCCAGCCATTCAATGAATCTATGTAATTGTACTTCTCTGGGAGTTCAATGTATTTGGCTTTGGTTAGTGAATTTGTAGGGATTTGATCCAATTTCTCATCAAATATAACATCTCACAAGATCATTATACTGTTTGTTTCTGGGTCCCAAAGCCTGTAGATGTGCATGCCACAATATCCTACAAATTTGATCTTCTTGGACCTAGGTTGAAGCTTTGAGAATTTGTTCAAAATCTTCATGCAGGTGTCACATCCTCACCTATGGACCCATCTGCAATAGAGTTGGTGATCTGTCCAGGCTTCAAAGGGTGTCAACAGCTTTGTGTTCTTGCATCCATATAGAGGCACTAAGATAGGTAATAGATTCACCATCATGGAGACTGTGGCAAGAGCTTCACTCTATAACTTATTGAGTAGTTCTGAGTCTATAAGTATGCTTCTTGTTCACTTGCAAAGAAGTCATATTCCTCATTCACTTATTTCATCTTGTTAAGATGTATATGGGTATGTAATCTTCTGTTGTATACCCTTGCTTTTGTAGAATTCAGCCAGTTGTTAACTTGTCAATTCAGGAGCTCCATCAGACAGTATAGTGCTGATCTTTTGTTTGGTAGACACTTCAATCATATTGATCCAGTTCTTTAGAGATTCTGGAGCTTCTACCCACTTCTTCAGGAGATAGATCTACCTGTATTGTGTGGCATCATCCATTATAAGTAGAAAATACTTCACTCCACTGTAGCTTGGAGAATCAGAGTCTGTAGATAGAATACAGCCACCACCTGCAATATCAATAAAAATTTTAGCTCCAGGCTTTGTAGAGCATGTTCTAGATTTAAATGGATTGCAAGCTTGCTTAGCTTTAGCACAGATTTTACAGAACTCTAGCTTCTTTACTCCCTTTATTCACATTGTTATTCTCAGATCTCTAGCTAGAATAGCTATATCATGGGCATTGAGATGCCTCCAGCATTTGTGCCAATTGGCCATCATATCCTTCTTGATTTCTGGTGTCTTTGCCAGGTGATTTGGTGCCAAAAGCACATTATCTTTATTCTCTAGAGTTGCTGTTACATAGCAGGGCTCTAGAAGTTTTGTAGGTACTGGAAACACATATGTCAGTAAATTGCATATTCTAGGCATTTGTAGAACTAGAATATCATTCTTGTTAAGCACAGCTTTGAAGCTCTGTATTTTATCTGCTGATTCTAGTAGAAAAACATGTTCTCCATTAATATAAAGCTGTTCCACTGTAAAGCTGTCTTGTATAAGCTTCCCAAAGCTTATGAGATTAATCTGGAGGTCAGACACAATTCTAACCCCTCTAATGCTTAATTCTCCATTGTCAGTTTGGATACTGGCCATGCCAAATTCTCTGGTGACTAATTTCAAACTGTTCACCATAAGTAGTTGTGTTGCATGGCTCTTTGGGTTCATTTGAACTAGATCTGTATGTGAGGTCATGTGGAATCTGGCTCCAGAGTCAAGAATTCATTTGTCTGTGGATTTGTGTGCTTCTTTTATAGAGAAGGCTACTTTATGAACTGAATAGATCTTGTCTGTTGCAACTGTAGTTATTTTCTTGCCTTTGCCTTTAGAGTCTTCTTTAGGCTTATTAGGCTTTGAATTCTTGTTAGATTTGCAAAATTTAGCCAAATGGCCAGGTTTGCCACAAATATAGCAGTTCCAGTTCTGTAGTGAGCTCTTCTCTGGATTGGATTTGGAGTTTGTATTTTTGTAAGACTTTTAGGAATCTGAGCTTGTTGTATTTGTATTTGACTTTATAGATCTGTCTTTTCTCTGATCTTTCTTGGAGATCCAGTGGAGGATATTCTTCAGTAGGTCTTTCAAATTCTTCTCTGATAGGTTTGTTCTGCTCTGGCATGCCATATCAAATTGGTTCTGTATGAACTCTCTCCATTAGAATGTAATATTCATCTTCAAGATATCATGTAGAGTGTGGTCCAGTTGTTTGAACCCTAATCTCTCAAATTTCCCATGGATTGCTAGAAATCTCTCTATATAATTTCTTTCTGAGCCAGTGAATTGTGGTGTCATTCTTACTAACTCTGTAAGTAGACTTTCCTGCTGTATCTCAGGTCTCTCTTGAAAGGCTGTTCTTACAGCTTTCCAGAGTTTGTAAGCACTAAGACTATCTGATTTCTTGAAGTATTCTCTGGCTTGTGCAGATATTGTGCTGTTGATTAGACTATATAGCTAATTATTCTGAACATTCTAGTATTGTGAAATCTTCAAGTGCTCTGGCTGTAGTGAAGTCTCTTGTCTTTCCAGGATAATCTTCTCAACATCTACTTGATGAGCTACCTTTAGAATGGCTTTGCTCCATGCTAGATAGTTACTGGCTCCAGCCAGGGTTATAGGCTTCTTCACTGTCTTTGTGATCTTTGTGAATTGGGTGATTGCTCTGCTGATTTGTGTATTTGTGTCTATAAGATTGCTGACATATTCTTCTAGTTTCTCATCAGAGTCTATTTTTTGGTTCTCTTCTTCTTCTTGTTAAGCTTTGTGCTCTAGATTCTCCTGCATCATTGCAGGTGTGTTTGTGGTGCTTGCTTGATCTGATAGAAGGTTCACTTGCTGTGCCAGCTGTTGTACTGTTTTCTGTTATCTTTGCATTAACTTCTGTTGCTTTTGCATTATCTTCTGTTGATTCAGCATCATTCTATGCAACATT